CCTGTGAATAGAAATCACATTAAAAAATATTATGTTGTCCTTGACAAACGAATAATAATAGACGAAGGTGCCGATACCATTCCTATGGTTATCATTGGTTTCCGAAACTTGAAAGTTCACACCATCAGACTTCTCCAACACACGATGCGCTGACGGATGATATTTTGTTTACATCCGTTCATGAAATTGTGCAAGAAAGGACTATTTGAAAGACTATGACATGTAGATGGACTTCATTATTTGGGGCTCTAAAGTTGGACACTACTTTCGAACTTTTTACGACGCCATTATAACACTTGTGACGTAATAGTTCAACACGTCAGTTTCCGTCAATATAATAATGATACTATCGCAGGTGTTTTTTGTCGATTTTCTTGTTTACAAACAAATAAATACACAAATTTTGATAAGATACAAAAAACCAACAAGAAAAAGTTTTCTGAAGACTTATATCTTCAAATCATTGCTCAGATAAGTTGCAATCAATGTCTGAACCTGTTTCGAGCTCGGAATCCGTGGGTTATTTATTTAATATATCGAGCAATCATATAACTTTGCGTACAACCCATCGCAGAAGCTGGTGATGAAGTACGCACTGCAGGCGATGCTAACGTAATTCTGCCTTTAACATTAGAGGAAACAATTGACGGTATATTTCTACTCAATGAATGGCGAGTTGTTGTTTTTTTTACATATACTCTATTAAATATTGTTTCTTCCTATTTATAAGATACCTAAGGTCATAGGCGTACGGGTACAAAAAAATTGGGGATATTTTTGCCCGACGGAAACAAAAAATGCCCGACAGAAAATTATCATATGACAATGTGCGTCTTAATCAGAAACCGACTATACATTTAAATACTTAGATCACGCATATTATTGAAATAAATAACAACGCTACACTGTTCGAATACTTTCTTACCTATACATGAATTATGCTGTAGTTCATACATTTACAGTAGACATAATATAACATAACAAAAGCTTAAAACAACAATACTTATACTGACATTGGATTGTAAGAGCAACTTTAATGACTGTCGACAGTTTTACGGGCGCTTTTTCCTGGACAAATTTACAAAGCTCCTCTTATGTATTTTTTAAATTTTATACTTATTTTATACTTAATTTAATACTTATTTTCTTTCATACGCGATGTAAATCCCTTATGAACACGCTAATATTAGCAGCTCCATCAAAGCATTATCCCCACGATATGTTCTGTTTTTAATTCGAGATTTTGAATTTGATTCATTACAAACTGAATAGAACTTACCCTTCTGCAAAAGGCGTTTTGAAAAAAAAGAATGTCTCCAGAGTTTTCACCTCGAATACATACCTCAAGCATAAGAATAACCGCTCTGATTTACTGATGTCTGACGTCTCATCGGCGATAATACTGAAGTACCCACTGCTTATGATATTGTTTGTAATCCACTTTGTAACCATAGCTGTAAAAATTTTGATTATCTCATTTTGAATCCTAGGAGATGTCAACTGGGCTTGAGATTTATGTTTACTTTGAAAGGCGTCCTTCAACCATGGTAAATCTTTACAGCGAAGGTGAAGAAGCTCAAGAAAATTTGGTATTGGACAATTCCCAGAGATTATTTCTGCATTCTTTATGAGCTCTTAGTGGTGTACTCTGTTGGACGTTGTTCATGAGGCATTGTATTATGATTCTTAGATATTTACGATTAAGGTCAACTTGCTCCTTGTGGACTGAATTAAGTTTTTGCAGCACTGACGTATCACGTGAGTGGTTAGCTTTAAAAAAAGCCCTCTTTAATAAAGTAAATGATTTGAACCCTGGTGTATCGTTACATGTGTGTAAATGTAGATCATCCAGGTTGGCATAGACCTGAGAAGGACTGTTTTTGTTGTTGTTGACTGACGTTTCAACAACCTTAGCGGTAGTCATCTTCAGAGGCAAATGAGGAGTAAACGTCAGTTTAGCCGTGTTTGTTATCTGGTTCTTACGTCATTGTATTGTGTGTACAGGAAATTTGTATTCTCATTGAGAATTAGTTTGAAGTGAAATATTTTTAGTTGTGATGTGTGATTTAGGTGTGATGTTTTTAGTTGTAATGTTTGGGTGTCAATTGTGTATTGTCATTCACAATCACAATACAATGACGTAAGAACCAGATAACAAATACGGCTAACCTTATGTTTACTCCTCATTTGACACTGAAGATGACTTCCGCTAAGTTTGTCGAAACGTCCGTCAACACCAGCAAAAACAGTCCTTCTCAGGAATATACCAACCTGGACGATCGACATTTACAAACATATAAAGCCCTTTTTGTCATTGCTCTAATGTGTTTCTCTGATTTTCAACGTTTTTGATGTCTTTTCGGTTTTCGCCAGTTACTATAGACAAGAAATGATCATTTTTAAACTTCCTCCAAGGAAAGCACACGCAGTGATCAAAATTACTTTGATATCTAAGCCAGGAGTACTTAGTACAACAATTATTACTGAATTCCTGGCGAAATGACGCCGTCCCAAACGTTTTCGATGGGTACTCAAAAAGTATTGGTTTGTTTGGTTCATCAAAATCATTCCCACACATCACTGGCAGCACTTCAACCTTTGAAAGATTTGCAATGTTTCATCTACCTAAAAGTCAATAACTCTGTGCTTGTCTCTCCATCAGATATTTCCTTAGGATTGTCATTATACATCGTCCCACATTCGACAGTTCTTAGGTGTGCGCATGCATATTCGACCACACCTAAAGATATTTGCTATAACTTATTGCCTACTTCTGCATTTAACCTCGTTTGGTCTTCACTACAGTTCTGAGGAATGTCCATTGTATTACTAACATTGGAATTGGAGTGAATTAAGGCTTCTTCGATAATTTTGGTGAAGTTGTTTTCTTCATTAACGTTACAGCGACTTATCTCGGGCAGGGATTCTTTACCTTACTCGGTTTTGACAAAAAAGTGGTGCAGTTGTGACTGTGAGCTTTCCACCACATGAGTGAACATCATCTTCTTACCACCATAGATATCTCTCGTGTGAGTTTTAGCATGGTCTATATTCACTTTTTCAGACAATCATAACATTCTAGTCGATGGAAACGATAAGCTCGTTTGCGACTTCCAGATTTAGAAGACATGACTTTTTGTTAATTCTTACATTAATTGATAAAAAAAAATTTGGCATAAAAATGAAAGACCATGCAATTTACATAAAATATAGCCATTTTAGTACCATTTTTTACTTGACCATTTCACTTTTAAGTGTTACTCGCACAATTTTCAAGCTATTTTCCTCATTCATTTTTATTTTTAGAAGGTTTCTATTCCTTATTTACATAGAATTTCTGTTTGTCGCCGTATTACTGGTTAGCGACAAGCTAGGAAGAAATGTTTGCATCAGATTTCAAAGATGAATTGACTAACAGTACTATGGACTTACTCAACTTAATAAAATCGGAATGATATTAATTATAACTGGTTAATATTATTTGCATATCATGTTAAAAAAATTCGAGGGTAGTTATGAAATAACGTTGCTGTTTTGCATTATCTCCATCATAAGCAGTGAGACTTTTCATTTACATTATAAAAAAAGGGGCTACATTTTCCTTAAATATTTAGGTGCGCTTCATTCTCATAGATAAAATAAAGCTTGAAAATTTGAAGCTAGGAAGCTTTATCAATGTTACACTAATTGTTATTTCCACAACTACTGAAGTGTTAAAGTACAATAAAATTTCTTGTACTGCATCATTAAAAGATCGTGTAACTTGTAAATTTGCATCGTTTATAATTTAACAATATTCAAACATTGTCAATAACAACACATCGTGAGACACAAACCCTTTTTTCCATATGGAAATCACAAATCACACCATGTTAGTGAATATTACTAGAACGTTCACTCCTCTAACAGTTTAAAATAGATGGCATGTATACTGTGTATACTGTGTCCGATTTTTAAAGTAGAATACCATAATCTCAATGCTCTACCGACTCTATGACATAATGAGATTGAGTGGTCCATGTTTGTAAATGTAGATCGTCCAGGTTGGCATAGTCCTGAGAAGGGATGTTTTTGTTGTTGTTGACTGACATTTCGACAACCTTTGCGGTAGTCATCTTCAGAGTCAAATGAGGACAATACCAACCTGGACGATCTACATTTACAAACACCACGATACTCCCGGGTTCGAAACATTTACTTTATTGAGTGGTCCCTTAAATAGAGTGTGCAAAATCAAAATTGATGACAAGTTTCGTACATAGAATCTCATCCAGGTACTAATATTTCCATAATTTCGTAAAAGTACTATTGCCAATGCACATTTAATATAAACAAAAAGTTTTTTGAAAATAGACATGTTTCGACATCTCATGATGCCATCTTCAGTATGAGTGAAATAATAGGTGCAACAAGGCTTATAAAAAAATAATATGATACATAAATTACAACAATAAAAAGGATATAAGATAAACTAATTGGGAGCGTCGGAGCGTATTATAAACTAAATATTGTATTGAATTTAAAAACTTGAACATTGAGGTCAGGGTTAGTTTTCTTAATGTGGAGTGCTTCTTTGATTTTAAGGGCAAATGAAGTGTCGGCAGTGTGGATGATTTTGAAGCAAGAGGGTGAATAGTTAATTTTACATGAGTGAGATTTAAGAAGGTGTAGGTAGATATGTACGGTGGCCCACAAGGGCAACGTCAATTTCAAATCATTACACTAAAATTAAATTCATCACACTAAATTCAAATTCATCACACCAAATTCAAATTCATCACACCGAATTCAAATTCATCACACCGAATTCAAATTCATCACACCGAATTCAAATTCATCACACCGAATTCAAATTCATCACACCGAATTCAAATTCATCACACTGAATTCAAATTCATCACACCGAATTCAAAATTTGAATTCGTGCCAGGCCCATTCGTGGGAGTACTTCATGTTGCTTATTATTTTATTGTTATTTTTAATCTCTCCTTAGTTTCAAAATGGCAAATTGTCATTCTTGCAATGCTCAAGTCGCCTTTCGGGATAAATTTTGTAGTCAGTGCGGAATTAAATTGTGTTGTGAGGTTGTAGCGATCAAGTACTACTTTAAACAAGGCTATAAATACGACACGATAACAGAATTTTTGGCGAAATTTCAAGATGTCCATATTTGTGTTCGAACTTTCAAGAACCGCTTGAAAACATTAGGACTCTCTCGAAAATTTAGGGAATACAATGAGTGGGAAGTAAGAGAAAGAATTATGCGCGAACTTAGTGGACCAGGTTGTATGAGCGGATATTGGGGAATGTGGCATATTCTTAGCAGGGAAGGATTTATGATACCGAGGCAAAAAGTTCAAGAGATGTTAAAGGAATTAGATCCTGAGGGTTGTGAAACAAGACGAGCTCATCGTTTAAGGCGGAGAGTTTATGTAAATCCGGGTCCAAATTTTTGTTGGCACTTGGATGGATATGATAAACTGAAACCGTTTGGCTTCTTCATTCATGGATGTATCGACGGTTTCAGTCGTAAAATGTTATGGCTGCATTTGACTAAGTCAAACAATAATCCCCAAGCGATACTTAAACTTTTCTTAAACTTAGTCATGTCGTGCCATGGCTGCCCTAAAAAGTTACGAACTGACCTGGGAACCGAAAATGGCCTTGTTGCAGCTGCACAATGTTACTTCACAAATGATGACCAGTCTCATGTGTATGGTACATCTCAACACAATCAAAGAATTGAAGGGTGGTGGTCTTACTTTAGAAGAAGCCGAGCAAATTGGTGGATTAACTTTTTTAAAGACTTGATGAATCAGGAAGTTGTTTCAACTGGAAATGAACTGGAAATGGAATGCCTATGGTTTTGTTTTTCAAGTCTCTTTCAACAAGACTTGAATCATGTAAAAGATCATTGGAATACACATTATATAAGAAGATCAAGGTTTGACACCGTACCAGGAAGGCCGAATAAGTTATATTACCTTCCTGAGAGGCATAATTCAGAAGATTTTCTTCAACCTGTAAGTCAGTATCAGTGTGACCAGGTTCTACAGACCAATTATCTTGATGAAAACAAAAGCGAATACGAAGAGTACTTTGTACATGTCATGGATCAAGCAGGCTTAGAGCTGCCTTTAGACTGGAGACAAGCCTTGGATCTTTACAATGAATTGATTTACATAGCAAAAGCCATTGATTTTATACCTGCTTGAACGGATTGCCTTTTCAAAGTCTGCATTTGATGACAGAATACTGCAAAACGGCTGTTGTTAAACAAAAGCAGAAAATGAGCATTTCATTTTACAAAAATTGTTTTTTATGATGGTTATTTAACATCAGTAAACCTAAAGTTTGTGGAATCTTTCTGATAATAACATTGTATATAATTTTCTGTTTACTATGTCTGAATAACTGTTGTGACATCTTATAAAATTTACAAAATTTGAAGTAACAGCCAAAAGATTTGCTGTGAATTAAAACCAACATCAACTAATGTGTTATGTAAACTAAACAGTTTCAAATGCTTCTCTTGTTTACAACATAGTTTTGTAAAATTAAGAAGTTGCAAAAACACCACCTTTGCATATTGCTAGCAAAAAGAGATGCTGAAAGTCACCAGTTTTGCTCATGTGTGCAACAGGGATTGTTATGGTACGGCCAGAAGCTCCAACAATAGGAAAGCAGGTAGTATGATTAGGATTTCTTGATAGGCAATCATGATCAAATCTGACAGTTATTTTTAAAACATCACCATTTAATGGCCGATGTTTCTGGCCTGTAAGCCAGCCTGAAGGTGTCAGATTTGCCATTATGGAATGAGTGATTTTATCCAATTCTTCACCATCATCAGCATACTGATCAGTTTCAGCCGGTTTGGTATTCCATGCAATTTCCTCTTTGTATCCAGATATGTGATTATCTTCCAGTGACATGAAGAAATCTAGAAAGTTATCCATGATGGTTTCTTCAAGCATTCTTCTTGAAGTACCATCATCAGAATAATCAGGGCACAGCAGAGAAAAAAGATAATTTGCATCTACATCGTGAGTTTCTTTGCCCTTCACCAAAACTTTTTGGCTACTTCTTCATTTTCTTTAACTGCTTGCAGTACACCGGAAACTTATAGCCCTTCAGCAAACTCTTTAAGAGAAAGAATTCGTTTGCCAATTATGCTCACCATTACAGTTCCTACTATGTCATCAGTGTGCAAGCCATCTATAATGCCAGTGTACCGACTCTCAATAATGAAATCTCTGTGAGTATGAAAATCTTTCTTTATACTTTCCAAGAGCTCACGATCAGCTTCAGTAAAGTGCTTTTCTAATACTAAGTTACTCATATCAATATTAGGATTAAGCATCAAGTTGTAAGCATTTTCATCCAAAATGCATGGTGGGGACCTCCTTGAGCAATGGAAGTAGCAGCCAATTGACCACAAGCTCTAAAGTTTCCATTCTGAATATTGTACACAGAGTCAATTGGTGTTCCATTCGGAAACATTGTCAAACTCATTTGCTAGATTGCTTCAGACAAAAATTCTTTCGACATGGCACCTGAGTCAATGCCATGTTCTCCCATGTAATTAACTCGAAGTACTTTGTTGGGGTCAGATCTTTTGCATTCTCGCTGCCATAATGATAAAGATCGAATAATTGAAGTACTGCGTCGCACAACAAGGAAAAACTATCCATTGTAGTCAACGTTTTTCTCAATGTCTTTCATAAATGTGGAAAGATCAACGTTGTCAACTTTATATGTATTGGGAATGTCTCTTAGTTCTTCACTTCCAGTGACAATAGTTGTGGGCACTAGTAATTCCTCATCAAGTTCAAGCTGTAACTTTTTGCCTAGGTTCTCATTACTCAAAACTTGAGAATTATCTTGTGAGATATCTTCACAGAAGTGAAGATTTTCATTAAAAATTTCTCATCTTCATCATCAGATGACTTCGAAATCTCTTTCTGGATGTAGAGGCTTTTTCTCCACAACCTTCCTCTTCCTGTAAAATAAAATCAGTTTTTGTGCATAAATACAAAGTGATCTTGTTATATTCTCTTCCCAGTTCTTCTTTGTATTGTTTTAAAGTAAAAAACTGCTTTTTTGATCCAGGAAGGAAAAGAGCTTCTTTTCCATCTTCAAAAAGGAGCATGTATTCTTCTTCATCATCCTAGAGATTGCTATGAAATGCTTTCCACTTTGTTGTTGCATTTTTCAAAATTTCTTTGTAAGGTGCTTCATGTGACACATTCAGTGCCATTCGTATTCCACGTTTTGGTTTTAAGCTTTTTTCTTTGTCATTGAATTCAAACAGATTAATAAACACTTTAAGTCTTGTCAGAGCTTTTCTCCTTTCGTCCCTTCCCTTTTGAAACAGTAGATTTCCATTGAGACCCTTTAGTTCTTTGGTATTCATTAAATGTTTTTATTGATTTCTTTCTGTGAGTGGATGCATTGTTTAGCTCTACATCTACAAATTATTCAGATTATAATTCATCAAAATGTGAAAAAGATATTGGCTAGTTCAGCTATCATAAAAACACCTGCAAATGTTGGCTATATTCCTAATGTCATGACCAATCTATCAAACTTACCACTCAAAATTCAAGTCTCATAAACTGTATAAATGCAAGATGCTTTTAGCTACATAACAATTGGCAATTTTAAAGCTCACAATTTATAGAATGCATTTGTGTTATCTTCAATAATTTTTTTCCTGAATTGAACGAGCACTTTAATGCTATTAAGGGAAACAAGGATGTTATTATATTACAGCACATGTCACCAGGGTTCATGTAAATGACAAAATAAGCAATATCAAGCATCTCATGTATTGTTCTTTATATTTATAAATGAGCATTTCGTATTCATTTATAGTGAGTTTAAACTTCAAAATCAAAAATTATCTCAGTTCACCTGATTTTATCTTTTCAGATTTGGTGCTTTGACCAAATTCATCTGCATCAGATTGAGCTGGAGAACACAGAATAATAGGAAAAACAAATTTAAAATAATCTCAAATTCACATACTCATGCTATAATAATCAGACGTTTTGTCTCATCAGTCAAATGGAAGAAGTTGAAATATGTCATTATCAAAGCCACATAGTTCCTGCTAGTATTCAAGTAATAAGTTCCTTACACAGAATGTCATTAGCAAGCATTTAAAGACATAGTAGAATTATAACACTTGCACTGATATTTATAGTACTAGCACCCAATATTTTTCCGTCAATTTAAATCTCATCGATATTCGTATCGAAACCTGTGAAAGACTAAGTTTATCTATAGTTTCTGTACAAGCTTACCTTTTCCACAGTTGGGGCAAAACTTGCAATCAACGTGAGCATTTAAGCAATGACCACATCGACTGCAAAACATGGTGGTCGCCAAATGAAATACGCGCCTTCGGTTTATGATTTTTGTATTTTCGCCAGTTTTTCGAATCAAAAATTGCATCGTGACATGAAGTAATAAGTATTCCTAAGCAAAGCCGCTGATCATGCGCGGGCATGATCACAATGCATGATGATGAGTGATGAATTTGAATTTGGTGTGATGAATTTGAATTTGGTGTGATGAATTTGAATTCGGTGTGATGAATTTGAATTTGGTGTGATGAATTTGAATTCGGTGTGATGAATTTGAATTCGGTGTGATGAATTTGAATTCGGTGTGATGAATTTGAATTTGGTGTGATGAATTTGAATTTGGTGTGATGTATTTGAATTTAGTGTAATGAATTAGAATTTAGTGTAATGATTTGAAATTGACGTTGCCCTTGTGGGCAACCGTAGATATGAGAGTTCTTTGTCTGTGGCGGCATGTTCACTGATTCTGGTGGATAAATGGCTCGAAGTTTCGCCAATGTATCGGGAATTACATCACGCGCAATTGAATTCATTTACCACCATAGATTTAATTGAATCTGGGATTGGGTCTTTGAATGAGAAAAGGTTTTTGATTTGAAATCACATCATTCAAAGAAGCACTCCACATTAACAAAATTAACCCTGACTTCAATGTTCAAGTTTTTAAATTCAATACAATATTTGGTTTATAATACGCTCGGATGCTCCTCATTAATTTATCTTATTTCTTTTTATTGTTGTAATTTATGTATGATATTACTTTTATATAAACCTTGTATCACCTATTATTTCACTCATACTGAGGATGGCAACATGAGATGTCGAAACATGTCTATTTTCAAAAAACTTGTCGTTTATATTAAATGTATTAATATTTCATATCAATACTTTATTGTCGATTTCAGTTAACTTTTCAAATGGCGGTTGCCAAGTTACTTTCTATTGTTGCCAATTACATTTCCAAATATGGAATGTTCGTTTTGAACTTGTCAACTTAAATTCACAAGTTGTGTACTTGAGTACTGAAGTCGTTAGCTAAAGTGGCGAAGTATTAGCAAACGCGAAAGTTCTATGTACCCTGTAGACATTTGGCAATGAATCCGTTCAGTAAGCAAGGAAAAGCTTTAGCAATTCTAATCCGTTTGACGGCAATCTAATTGTGCCACATTATGTAATAAATTTACAGTAAATGTGGCACTAGAAGCGCATCGTTGGATTTCAAATGCAGGAGTACCCTGCATACTGTGCCTCGACGACTGTTGCCACTCGTAACAACTACAGACGACTCATCAAACAAGTGCATTCGGCTGCAATCAATCAATGAAATTTTTGCTACGTAAGCTTCTAACTTCTCCATAACGCCCGGCCGTTCTTTCTCTCGAGTAATTTGACTTATTATCTTATAAGTGTAACCAAGATCTTTATTCAAAATTCTATTAATGGATGACCTGCTTAGTATGTTTGCTGGAAGGCAAACTTTGTTATTTTCTAGGCGTTGCTGAATCTCTTTTGCGTAAATGGATGGTTTATTGATTTTAAGATATTCTGTGTATAGAATAATGTCATCTGTACACGCGGTTCGAACATCACGTTCGCTCTGGCGAGGTGCAATAGAACCTGTGTTTACCCATAGATGTATTATATTTGATTTAGTCTTATACGGTAGGTTTAATTGTTTCGAAATGTTTGTCAAACGCTCGTTATTAAACCACATTTCAATTGTTTCATTTCTTACTTCTATTGGCAAAGCTTTTCCTTGCTTACTGAACGGATCATTGTCAAATGTCTACAGGGTACAAAGACCTTTCACGCTTGCTAGTACTTCGCAACTTTAGTTCACAACTTCAGTACTCAAGTACACAACTTGTGAACTTAAGTTGACAAGCTCATAACAATTATTCCATATTTGGAAATGTAATGTCAACATTAGAAAGTAACTTGGCAACCGCCAATTGAAAAGTTAACTGAAATCGACAATAAATACATGCTCTTTTGCAAGTATTTGCGCATACGAAAGAAATCACAATTAAGTGTAAAGTAGAAATTAAATTTTTGCGTACGCCGTTTTGGCTGCCACCAAACTTCACGAAATATTTGAAACTGGCTTTAAGTTACAACGGGAAGAAGGAAACGTCAAAAAGTTATATCTGCTAATGAGTGTATCTGATGTTATGAATTTGGTAAAAAATATTCTATTTGTTTTCCTTTCACCTTCTTAACTGCTTTTACCAATCACATGCTTGGGTATTGATCATGTAAAGGACTGCGGGATAAAGCAGTATAGCAATTGGTTTGGTACGATTTTATATATGTTGCAGTTTAGCACATACTTTGTAGAAATAGTATAAATATATTTTGACTCTGAAGATGACTACCGCTAAGGTTTTCAAAACGTCAGTCGACAACAACAAAAACAGTCCTACTCAGGACTATACTAACCTGGACGATCTATATCTACAAACATGTAACGATACTCTCGGGCTCAACCAATTTACTTTATTACGTCATTTGGACGACAGAGCTAACTACTTGCTAACGAATACATACGTTTTGCAAGCAACGTCAGACTCGTACGCCAACAACTCTAGTTCAACCACTACTGCAAGGATTTTGGTCTCGTACAAGCAGGACTTAGAATTAAGTCGCCGTTGAACACACAAGAGGCTATTCGGATTGTCAAATCCACTAGCAAACAATACATAATTGACACCCACACATTTCCTGTACACACAATACAATGACGTAAGAACCAGATAACAAATACGGTTAACCTCACGTTTACTCCTCATTTGCCTCTGAAGATGACTACCGCTAAGGTTGTCGAAACGTCTGTCAAAAAACAACAAAAGCAGTCCTTCTCAGGACTATACCAACCTGGACGATCTACATCTACAAACATGTAACATTCTTCATTTGTAACTAAAATTGCCGAGCACTTTCGAATTTGTCTTTCTGGCCATGAATGAATGATGAAAGCTGTGCATAATTGCAAGGCACAACGAAAGCATCTTCCTCTGGCCAATTGTCATAAATGAAATTTTGCTAAGCTATAGCTCTCGTGTGCGACATAAGTCATAGTATTTTTTTGAAGATTTCGCGCGATGCAAATTGACCATAAGTTTTTTATCTATGTTTTATCATAACCATGAATGTTTATTTGCTCATTATTAGCGTGCTATACTATACATTTTCGACACGGGCGAATGCATATTGACAAAGGTGTCATTCGCCTTTCCTAATTTTGCACTACTCGGAGAACCAAATACCCAAATAATCGCTTGAATAATTGCATAATTGACAAACAGATTGACACAAAATGGTAAGTCATTCGAAATTGTATCGTCAAATTGCTATATTTAACAAAAAACTTTCTTTGTTACTCTCGCAGAGCATATTATTAAATAACGATTGAAATATTTACGACAATTACTTTCACAACGCAACGGAATGTTCATTAAAATACAGCAGTATTTTCTCGTATGTAAGTGCATACAACAATATATGTCTATTTTCGTCTTAATTTCTATTCAGTATACCAACAAAACGTTTTTTTCATAATAATTTGTCGTCAATGATACTTATCAAACATTTTATGCGACGTGCGTGTATAACATTACCCTGTTTACTTACGACACACAAGTGACACGTTGCTTATTCCCGTTTCAAACGTCGCATTTTACATGAGCCGAATGCATTTAAAGTGCTACTGAAGTTAAATTTTCATACTTCGTTTTTTGACATAAACATTTTCTTTGTATTTACTGATCATTTTGAGTTATTGCACACTGAATTTGATTTAGGGGAACGCATTGAAATTTGTGTTCAAACATGGCACTTTAATGCGAATTTGCTGTGAGCGCGTGACGTCATTTAAAGGACGGAGTTCTATTTTAAAGCTATCACTTAATAAAAATATATACGAACCAGAATATTTCCAGCATGAGTTTTACATTTTTTATGACTTTTTTTTCCAAGAATCAAGTATAGCTGGTGAAAAATGAGTAATACCAATAAGAATACAGCATATACAACCTTTATAGTTTTATTAACTTCTACAATAAACTTATATTTCTCGATGAACTGGGTACTGTTTCCCTGTCAACCACAGCGAGATTACACATAATATAAATATTAACACGGTTTATTTTACCGTCACATGAAAACATGTGACTTGGACGAGATCTGAACTCGCATCTTTGGGATACAAGTCCGCCGCTCTACCTGTTGAGCTACCAAACCCACAGGGATTGGAGACGAGACAAATATTTTAAAACTACGTATGGACGAAAATTAAAATGGCGGAAAATAGTAATACAAACATTGTTGATCAAATTCTGCCAAATTTAAACGAACATTCTTCAAGAATCGCGCCTCAAACAAGCGCAGAAACAAAGCTAAAGTAAGTCACATTTTCAATTCTAATACAGGTAGACGGCGGTCTACATCAGTTGTACCAACTACGAACACTACCGAACAAAATGTGCCGAGGAGGAGTTTTGTCACGACGCGAAATTTTACTTCACAGCGCCCGTCTGCTTCTAATCGAAGAAGGATTAGGGAATCTAAAAAAAGGCATGGTGCTATAGATAATAGACCATTCTTATGCGACCTTATTTTGCTGGGAGGACCGAATGCTTCTGTCGTTTCTCGTCATAGAGCATGCCTTGCTCTGATGGAACGGAGTCACATGATGTCAGGCTGCAGATTCACCAAGGCAATGAACGCTGCACAAGAGGAAATTGCCATAATGGAAGCTTTTGTTGACAAAACTCCAGCTGGTGTGGATATCGAAATATTAATGTCAATGCACACATCTCTTATTGTGCCATTTTTGGCTCATCGTCAGATTGGCATTGATGGAGCAATTTTGCAACGGCTCTTTCAGAGTAAACCAGTTTAGGTGTGACCAAACAAACAGGTCATAATTGAGCATCATATATGAGTTTCTGTTGTCCTCTTCCGTGGTTTAATAGCTGCATCAACTGTTTTACTTGCACATGTGTATGTTAATGCACCATATTTCAACATCTTGATTGGAAAAACGAATTAATTGACAATATTATACTCATCATATATAAATTAAATATGCAGTCAATGTGGAAAAATGTGTAATTTAATATAATACACATCACAGGAATAGTTTGTGAAGTCCCTGTTATATTTTTAAATAATGATTTGTTTGGTGATGTGCAGATTTCCAGAAGCTCTACTGATGCCAATCCTGAGCCATTAGCTTTGCCTCGAGATACAGCACAATCTCTATCATCACTGCCTCCAGAGACAGCACAAGCTTCTTTACAATCAACCACTGATCTTCATACAATTGGTGTACAGGATACATCAGGTTAGTTACATTAAATATTATATTGCCACCATGCTTTATCTTATTGCTAAATTATATTATTTTTTTACAGCACAATCTCCGTTTTCATTGCCTTAAGAGACAGCACAAGCTTCTTTTCAATCTACTACTGATCTTCATGCAGTTTGTGTACAGGATACATCACATTATTTCCACCATGCTTTATCTTATCGCTAAGTCAATCTAAAGATGGACTTAGATTAAAGAGACCAATACCGGTTAATGTAGATCTTTAAATTACCAAGTCATACCAAAAACTAATTTAATATAAAAGCTAGTTGTTGCTGATATGTTTTCAAGAATTATTCTTCATATCAATATGTTCTTGGCTTAGGCAGTTAAAAATTTTTATTGCAATACGCGCACTTACAATACAATAGTAAATCAATTTTAAAGTTATCAATAGCATCATAGTTCACCAGCTCTTTGCACATTGCACATTTTAACAAAATCAATTTCCTTTTTAACGTGTTACAATAGTTTACCAAAATTGAAATGGCATACCCGACAAGCCAAGTAGCCTATATGTACTGTAGATAAAGCTATGCAGAAACATATTGTAAAATACATTACAAAATCGAAATTTCACGGCGCATAATTCAACTTACGCTGCTAGAATACAACCTGTGAGTGCCAATGAAATCTCTTGCATAAAGCTTCTTGTGACTTGTTTCGGTACTGTGTTTGCCACTAGGGACCACGCACAGTTAATATCCTTCTTTGCTTCGATTAGTATGGCAACACACATCATAAAGCATAAGTTTTTGTTATTTAACTCTTTGTAAAATATGATTCAATTGCGCTTTTGGAAAGCGTTAGTATGCATTTGTCTTACATTTACGCTTGCCTTTGTCATTTTTATGATCATTGCAAGGACAGATGTTTTATTTACCTACACAAACCAATTTCCGAAAAGCTTCTTGAAAAACATCCTTTGTATGCCAATTTTTTTCTTTGACAGAAGAGCGCACTGGAAGGTTTGGCGACGTATTCGCAATTTTTAAGTTTGTTTTAAACTCAGAATGAGTATATAATGAACAAAAACTCCAATTTACAGTTATAGAAACTCTTGTAAAAGTTTGGAAGAAGCTCAAAATTGCTTGAACACACTTACACTATGCGGATTTGCAAGACATTGCATGATGAGGGCTGCGTTTTCTGAGTTGGAAGGTCAAAACTTTGAACTCAGAACAAGACATTTATAATTGAAATAACCCAACATTCTTTATCAAAAATCGTGGATTTATGACCATTTCGCTCAATGTCGGTGCTCGTCAGCATGTCTGGGAAAGTCGCCTAGAAATATACGTTAAGGGCTTCCAGCATGGAAGGCCTGGTTCATTACAAACTTAGCAAAAAAATTATTTACGCTTCATCAACTTTTATATGGAATTGCACTTTTTAATGGTCTTGTCATATCTAAATGCTGATTTTTATGGAAACGATTTTATGTCAATATATCAAATGAAGTTGTCGACTAAAAGCAATTAAAATGTGTGTAGATGTTGATCGGTATTTTATGGCTTCATTGTGAATTTAAAAGTTTTGAGGTCAGTTTTGCTAATACTGACATTTCTCCTTTAACATAATGTCATTCATTGTCCTGTGTACAGTCATAAAACAAAAAGTTACCTTAAATTTACTATGGGTGAATTTATTAGGTGCATAGGGCGTGGCTCTGTATGCAATAGCGTTACAAAATTTTTTGCCAGATAAGCCACTGCTTTGAACAATTTTACAAAGCCCAACAATGTTCATTCGACATTTTGGCATCGGACAGAGGTCCAACTTGAAATAAAATGGAACAAATTAGAGCAAATAAAGAGAGGTCGATTGTGCACTAAAATGAAGACACTAGACCAAATAAAGTTTTGTTGGTGCAATTTTACAGCCAATAGACTCAGGGTCATTTGGATTAGGCCTTGTGCCATGCCATTGTCTGGAAACAAACGAAGAAATAAATAATATTGGCGCCTGCCATATCTTCAAGAAAAGCTCAAAATGTCGATACAACATCTTGTGTTTACCCAAAGTCATTGGCGATACGCGATTTAATAACAACTGGAAATCTAGTTCGACTTCAAAAAACAGCAGTTTTACAATTAGAATCCTTTGATATTCAAAGATGTTCGTGGTCATCACACAGCTCTTCAATATCAATGGAAATAGAAGAAAAAAAATGCAAGTGAAGGATTTCACGATCCGTTCCACGCAAAATGCAGTGATGTCTCATCTTCTTTTAAAGGCGATTAGGTAGTGAAAAAGTATTAGGAAAGCTCCATTGAAACTGTTCAGGGTATATTGAAAATAAGTGTTGAAGCGCATACCCGAAAACCAGTGCAAATGCAAAGCGTTGCTCGAAACATAACTCGACGCTTTGCATCAAATGTCTGGAGGAATCCCGGGAAACCATTTCATTTCGGAAAGTGTTTTATTCAGTACTTGAGAACATGCCTGTCACAGTTGAGAACTATATCCATGGGGAATTCTTTAAGTACGTAAACAACGATGGAGAGTGCTTAGTTCCTCCCAATGAAAAGTCACACGAGTTTTTCTTAAAAGCACAGTGTCTTACTCATTTCAGTATTAAAATAGCAACGAAGAACTTATGCTTTTGCATCTTCAAGATTCCAAATATTCACTCTACGATCCAGAAATATCTACAACTAAGCCTTATGATGCTTTAACGTCTATAAGCAAATCAATTATTCTTAACAAAGAAACTTATTTTTGTGCAGGAAATTTATCATTTTATGTGAACAATGAAGTCAAACGGCAACATAATTGTGCAAGTTTTGCGAAAGGATGGGACTTAGCAACCTGCCTAGATGTTATGGTTTCTCTTTTTTTATGACACAAGTAGCTACATACCAACAGAAGCTAAAGTCCTGAATCTATAATGAAGGTACATACTTTTTACGGCTACAGACAGCATTGACTATTCCATTTTATGTATTATATATTAAAAGGATTGTACTTTTGTTGCTATAATGTTTACATAGATTGTAGTTGAAAGTATTAAGGTTGAAAAATTATGCTGGAAATAACATTCTCCAGTGTTTTGTTATGTCTAACTCTGGTCACAAGGGTTTTGTAACAAAATTCTATAAATGTTCTGTTAATGCTTTTAGAACAATTTGGATTTGATTAATAAATGTTAACAACAAAATATTGAAATCCACATGCCCTTTTCGAAAAATTCTAAATTAATGTCAGAGTTTTTTATAGAGTAGTACTGGTAGTAGAATCTTTTAGAACCTAAAGACGTTTTAACTTTCTTTGGTAGTCTCTCGATAATTTTCAATCCATGTTCTACAAAGTCAATATTGCTTTCCCACCACACAGAAAGGAAAGACATACTAAATGTCATGTCAAATGTCATGTCAAGCTGAGTGTATGCGTTATAATTGCAAACTTTGCTTCTGATAAATATACGCTTTTGTTACTTTATTCAAATCCAGATTTTCGGAAGCAAGCAGAATTCTTACACATTTTTCTCTAACTCCTAAATGGACGCATTGCTATATTGAATCAACGAAACTTCGAGACTTCTGCAACCTCCTTCAAATGATCTGGAAATATTAAAACACCACAATGCTCTCCAACATATTAGACAGCTTTAGCAAACGCAACGCGACGTCAACTAAGACGTCTAAATGTTGAGGAGAACTGGGTCGAGGACGACGTTTGTTGTCAAATTATTTCGGCTAAGCCTTTTTGAGACAGGAGTCGTGGACGTAAAAATTTATAGTTCACGTTCAAATAGTTTATTTTCTTCAAAGGGACGAGTAAAAAACAGGTATTTTTACGAAATACAAATGTTTGGTAAAAAAAGAGTGAGATGGAATTCAATATATGTTTGATTTTCAGTCGTTCACAGACGCAAATCGCAGCAAAATTTTGGAAATCAAGTTAATTAGCTTATGCACGTATTTTTGATGAAAATCTTCTGTTATTGCGTTGTTACATGAGAAATTTTGAAAGGATTTAAAATTTGATTTTTTTCGTTTTTGACACAAACTTTTTATGTGAAAACAACATGAGAAATCTTTTATAAGTGTTCAAAGAAACGAATAGTATTTTTTTCAAGAATTTAATAGACACATGTGTAAAAGACATAAATTTCTAGGGATGCATGATAAGGATAATTGTTATATTGGTGGAAAAGAACTACTAAACCAATGGTTTTAGGCTTGTTCTCTTACTGCGAAAACATTTAAAAAGTAAAATTCCATACATGGAATCACTCATGCCAACTTATTTGGGTATTGCACGTATACCTCATTTCTTTAGAAAAATTTAATTCTTAAAATCAGGGTTTGTAATGAAGACTAGTTAAATTTCCTACCATAAATAGCTTTCGTACTAGAGCCCTCTATTTATAAAAGTTGGGACAACGGGTCTGGCGCGAGCGCGGAGCCGCCGTTTTCGATCCTACTTACAATACGAAATCATATTGAGACTGTGTGATATTGGCTAAATGACCTAAATGACTAGCAATTCCGCATTTTTTAATGGAAAGTTTAAATATATCATAATCGGCAATGAAGCCTTTGGCGTTTTTGTGAATAATTACTGCAAACAAAACTCAATTTTATGGATTTGAGCTACATTCGCGCTCGACTAGTTCGTGCTTTGAAACTCTTAGTGACCCAATGCAAGGTTTTTTTTACGTCTCCGAACGTATATTCTGGCAGTTTTCAACAACAGCACCAGTATATTTGTTTTCATTGCTTATAATTAACGTGCGATGAAGAAAATACTCGTTATTTCGAATGCATATTCTTGATCAGGAAAACGCGTAACTATACCTAGGATCTGAATGAATGCTTTGGCAGGTATAAAGTAAGTCAAAATAAATCACTGCAGCTTATTTTTGGTTATATTTACATTTCGAAACCGTAGAAGCAACTTAACTGGTAAAAATATATTCTGTAAATATTCTACAATAATAACGTAGTTCTAAAACTAAAAAGTAATTTGAATTTACAATTGAACTGCTATAATTTGTTTTAAATTAAACTGTGCTTGGAATTGAGTCAGTGTTATCCATGGCTGGACAAGGCTTTGTTTTGAAGCACTGTAGTCATGAAATTTTGCTTAGGTATTACATATTTTGCAATGTGTTCCAAGCATAAAAATTTAATGCACACAGATTACAATGGTTTTGCTGGAAGATTATGACTTAAGATATTTGTTATTATGCAATAGTTCTTTAATAATCTATTAATCAAATGTGAAGTTGCTTATTTCTTTATTGCTTGTGAAACTGCGCTTATAGTTGAAGTGTAATTAAAATGCAGAATGATATAGGCTTCTATTTGGTGAGGCATATGTTGAAAATGAACTTATTTTGTTCAATATAAAAGAATTCTGTTGTTTAAGAACTGTCTTGTTTGTTGCAATTGTTACTGTTTGTACAGACTTTGATATTACATATGAGTCTCATCCAATTTTTAATCTAGCTTATAAAAGAGTTGAGTCGAAAACAATCATCGTCAATGAATCTTTATGTCAAGAGCAGTTTGAAAAAATAGTCACTGCGCGCAGTCTAATCTAAGGTAAAGCTATTTCTTTCTTGCT